AGGGGAGCATATACATCCGATGCCACTATTGTAAAGCAGGGCGCATCTCGTACAGAGCTGGCCGTCCTAAGACAAGGGGTGAAATGTTTAGACGCTCCAAAACGTAGGAGCCCAAACCCCCTTTTCAAATGTGATGCGAACCCTTTTGATGGTTTATGCCAGGTCTTTCCTCCGTCCTCACCTATGCGGGTCACAATTTGGGACATCCGCAGTTGCACAGGACTTGCAAGAGTTAAATAGCCTGTGGGTCACTTTCTTCTAATGCTATCTTGTAGCAAGAAACTTGCAGGGAAAATCCACTGCTGCCCTGGGACTTATCTGCAAAACCTCCAGCGGCGTCTGTTGCCGCTTGCGTCTGGCCCTGCACGAACGGCATAAAGGCCGGGTGCAGCCTACTTAGTTGGCTTGCGCAAAGCACGACCGCTGCAGAGCGCGCGACCTGGCTTTTTAAAAGATGGTTTGGGACGAAGTCCAAGCAGAACAGGAGAGCCGATCTGCATGGCGGCGTTCTCTCGGAGTTAGCTGCTCCGAAGCGCGACCATGTTGCAATCCTGCCGAGGAGGAAGTAGTGTGAACACGCTCGTCCGAAGCTTAGCGTAGCGCTGTGTGCGGGACACCCCCGACCTTGTCAGGGCTTCCACCCCAGATGCAGGCTGTGCGTTTCCGGCTCGCAAGGAGGCGGTGCAACTGATGCAAGATGAGCCGATCAGCTGCTGCGGAGAGGAGGAAGGGACGGGGGCAGGGCAGAATGCTGGCAGTCACTCCCCTATGTAATCCGGCCATGGGCAAACCGAGACGAGAGACCCTCCCCCGTCTCAGCGGGCTGCATGGCCCACGTAAAGTCGGTCTCTCGGGAGAAAGCGCTCTTGCTGACTGCGCTTGCGTGCTTGGAATCAGCGGTGCCCTTGGGGAACCGTCCAGGGCTTTGATGGGCTGCACGGTAGGGATGTAAGAGTGGAGTCGATTAACCGATAAGGGAAAGCTGATGGGTTAATGCGATAGACCAGCGGTTCCCAATCTGTTGGATACTGGGGACCAGTAAACCCATTCACAAGCTTTTGGAGGACCGGTAACATTCATTTGCGTATTCATTAAGCAAATGATGAATATGCAAATACAGTGTGTTGCTGGCACCGGTGGGTTGTTCTGCCCTCCTGGCTCCAACCCCGGCTACTTTATCGGCCGACACTCGCTCCCCCGGCTATGTCCGGTGCCGAGCGTTCTGCGTCGGTGCGCACAGCCTTCTCCCCCTGTTCTGGGTCCTAGCGCCCGCCGGATCTAGCCCTGCCCCCTGGGCGCATGCCCGGCAGAGATGCCGCGGCGGCAGGCTGTCTCCTAAGAGGGCTGTACCACCGCGCTCAGCGGAGTGGGCTGCTGCTACCTCATCTCACAAATTAATAGGATTGTGCGCAATAATTTTTCTAAGGACCGGTACTGGGCTGCGGACCACACTTTGGGAAACACTGCTGTAGAAGACACACATTTCTCTCCCCCCCTCCCCCCCTTTTTAGCAGGCTGGCCAGCAGCCCAGCTCAGTTCTAGCTCATGCCGGGTCCAGGAGCTCAGTCGTGTGTCCCGCCCCCGGGCAGCCACCGTCAACTTGGTGATGGACGGACCTGGCACCATTGGGACATAGGACGGATAAGGGGGGCCCAGAAAGTAGGGATGTTAGGGAGTGGCGCAGTGGGCAAGGTACCCACCTCGGGAGCCAGAGGTCAAGGTCTCGAGTCCCGCCTCCCCCCAGGTCACCCACCACCAACTTGGTGATGGACGGACTTGGGATGTAGGATTTTTTTCGTGGGGTGGGTGGGGGAATGACATGGGCAGAAGCCAGCTGAATCTGGTAACTCCCTGCAGTGGGCTGCCCGGGCCCCACCGTGCACGTCATCCAGCCGTGCCCAGCTTGATGAGGGGTGGGGGGAATAGAGCACAGAAATGGATGCTTAGCTATCTCCTGCCTCTCCCCTTGAGCACGGTTAAAACCTCTGGGGAACCCTTGTGCCCCCAGCTAGCCTGGTGGGAGCGGGCGGGGAAGGCTCCGTTTGTCGCCCCCTTGGCCAACGTTCAGCTCCTGGATTCTTGTGTGCAACTTCGCAGCAGCAGCGTCTCCTCGCTCCGAGACACTCGGGCTGCCTCCCTTGACGGCTTCGCCGAACGAGTAACGGACGTGTCGGGGGGGTTGGAGCCTGCCCGGCGCTCTGGCGAAGGCCGGCGGTGAAGCGCGGAGAGCCTGTGTTTGGTTCTGGCTCAGTGGAGAGGTCTCGGTGTCTCAGGTTGCAGAATCTGTACAGTGCTGGCTGCGAGGCCTGAAACGCGGCAGCGTTCCCGTTCCCTGCCCCACCGCCTGAGAACACAATCCCACCGTTGCTACTCCAAACATCAAACGGCTGCTCAGGAGTTAGAAAAATCTTCAAAGCAGCTTGCAGCTTTTGTTTTCTTAGTTCTTTTTCAACTGCCATTTCCCCACTCTGTTCATTCTGAAAATTTAGGATGATTTAGTCTAGGGGTAGGGAATCTCAGGCCCAGGGGCTGCATCCAGCCCCCAGGTTGCTCAGATCTGGCCTCTGATGCTCAGGGCTTCCCCCCTCTGCAGAAGGGTCCAGCCCTGTGCACCTCCTGTGATCCCCTGCAGGGCTGGAGTGCCAGCTCCCACCTGGGGGGCCCTGAGCCTCACGGGCAGGAGTCAGGCAAGCCTGGGGCTGGATCCAACATCCGGGCTCTGCCAGGCAGGGGATTGGAAATGGCTCTGTGCGCGCACCCCCGTTGGGGAAACGGCAGTGCAGCAAAGCACTGCCTGGAGGCTTTTCCCTCGCCGCTCCCATTGGCCGTAATCATGGCCAATAGGAGCAGCAGGGGGTGGTGCCTGGGAGCATCAGGGGACATGGATCCAAGTACGTCCCTCCCACCCAGATATGCCCCCCCATCTCCCTCCAGCACCTGCCCTCCGAACCCCAGGCCTCTCCTGCACCCTCCTGCACACTGAACCCCTCATTTCTGGGCCCCCGCCCAGGCCCCTCCAGGCTCTGGTGTGCGAGGGGAACATGGGGAGTGTCTGTCTGCTTCTCAGTTGGGCCATGTCAGCGACGTGGTGTGCGGCCAACTGACTTTTAAACCTCCATGGGTCAGCAGCCCCCCACCCAAAAAAGGTTCCCGCCCCCGTTCTGAGCTAACAGACATGTTCTGGGCTCTAGGACCCGTCTTCCAAAGAGCTCTGCGCTCGGCGCGTTCAGTAATGCGATCAGGGCCTGGAGTGGGAGAGGAGCTCTCGAAACGCTAGCCCAGGCTGCATGCACAGTGGGCGCCCTTGGACAGTCTGGCTCTCAGACGGAGTCTCTTTCAGCTAAGAATTCAGCAAGAGTTGGCTTGTTCCGGCAGCGCTTCTGTAGAATGGCGCGACATCCCACCGCGTCCGAGCCAGGGACGTTACATAGCGGTTCGTTGGCTAGTCGAGTCGCGGATGGAATTTCCGCATGGAGCCCCGGGCCAGCGGGAAGCTGGGGGCTCTCGTATGTTTCAAAGCTGGCACGGAGCCAGCTGAACCCGGGCTCCAAGCGACGCTGCTGCTTCGAAATGCCGCGCAGAGCCCAGAGTCCCCAGCTGATCCTGGGCTCTGCGTGGCATTTCAAAGCGGCAGTGCAGCATGGAGCCTGGGATCTGATCCCGAGATCTGTGCGGCGCTGCCGCTTTTAAGTACCCCCCTCTTCTTCTGCCTCACTGCCTCTATCTCATCGGGGCAGTGGGGAGCGAGTAGTCAAGTAGTCCTTTACATCCTTAGTCCAGACAATGTCTGCTAGCCTACATGGCACATACTGGCCTGGCCAAACCCTGCCACCCAGGAAAACTGTGAATCGCTTCCCAGGTTGGAGCAGCCTTCTGCATGTGTTTGTGACCCATCGTAGAAGCTAAGATTCAGCAGAATTTGATATTTGGCTTCAGATTTTAGCCCTTGTGACTGAAGAAAGCCATCGGGTTGTGATTCGCTGTTACCCCATGTGGCCTAGCCTCTTACGTTAGTGGTGAGCAAGTATAAAATGACTTGCTAGTGAGAGGCTCACTTTCCACTGACCTATATGGCTACTTGAGTCACAGGATAATAAGCTGAATATGTGTATATTAAGGCTCAGTGCATGTTCACTCTGAAACCTAATGACAGCATTGCAGGCTTGCTGAAAGTTTCTGCTAAAATGAATACGTTGAAATGCTTATCGATTAACAGCAGATCTGGCATATGAGGCAGCTCCCTTGGTGCTTCACGAGGGTGAGCGGAGGTGGGTAGAAATGAGCCCTGTGTAGCTCGCTGTTGTATTCAGCATCACTCGCCAGAGAAGGGGTAGCAAAGAATAGAACCTCAGAGTTACGAACACAAGCATTGCACACTGATCCGTCGGCCACAGGCCTCGTGTAGAGCGGACAGTATGCACTCAGGCAGCAGCGCAGACCGAAAAAGCAAATCCGATACAGTGCTGTGTGAAAGTAGAACTACTTTTAAAAAAAAAAAGAAGGAAGGAAGGAAGGGTTTTTGGTCAAGGGAAGAAAATTGTTTCTGGGCTTGTTCCATTTATGATGGTTTAAAGCAGCATTTTTCTTCTGCATAGGAAGTTCGCCGCCATATTGTGTCACTATACTGGTGTCGACTCTTCAAAGACCTAACATTTTGTTGAGCCTTACCGCTTCCGTCCCGCTTTGAATTCCTCCTGTGGTTAGACAAGGGCCGCCGTATGCAGGCTGCAAGTGGAGGTTGGAGGAGGCAGCTGGCGTTAAAGATTTTAAAAAGCGGGTAATTAGGTAACGGCTGAAAATCTCAATAGTTAGCAGCTAGCTCTCCAGGAACTCGGTGTAGCTGTGTGACCTTGGTGCAACATTAATAGAGGCTCATTGCATGGCGCAGCACCAGATCACACGTACATAATCTCAAAGATTTGGTCAAAGTATCCCCCACGCTCAAGGTCTCGATCCTTTTTGTATAAGGTGGGTTTTGGGACGAGGGAGGGGGACAGAGGATGGAGGGAAGTGAATGTTGCATCTTCAGTGGCTACCGGGAGCGGCGGTGGGTTTCGAATCGCTGCGTTTCCTCTCCCTTGTGGTATAATCTAAAAGGGAAGGATGAGGATTGCTCCATAATACCGCTGGCTCCTTTCTGGGCACTGGGTAAGATTCGTACAGACTAGCCTCTTGTTTAATCCCGTTAACGGTGTGTAATGAAGGGCAGGGATGTTGAATATCGGTTAATTCAATAGTTGATTAATCTTATGAATTCTTATCGGTTACTCGAATTCTTATCGGTTACTACTGGCAAAGGGTGGGGAAGGGACGTGTCGTTTAAGCATTAACCTATAAGCTTTTGCTTATCAGTTAATCGACTCCACTATTCCAACCCCAATGAAGGGGGTGTTCTCAGCTTTGAGCTCCTGCACCCAGCGTGAGCTGGAACTGAGCTACACTTTAAATGCAGAGCTGCAGCGGGCGTAGGTCCTGGACTGAGGTATCGGTTAATTCAATAGTTGATTAATCTTATGAATTCTTATCGGTTACTCGAATTCTTATCGGTTACTACTGGCAAAGGGTGGGGAAGGGACGTGTCGTTTAAGCATTAACCTATAAGCTTTTGCTTATCAGTTAATCGACTCCACTATTCCAACCCCAATGAAGGGGGTGTTCTCAGCTGAAAAGTCCCACCAGTGTCTGCCGGGTCCCCGCAAGTCATTCCCAAGCGCCTGAGAGCTACAAGCGGGGAGAGGAAAACAGAATATTCTGTCTGTTGCTATCATTTTTGCATTTGACAGTGTATGTCAGTTTCACTGTCCCTCCACCCACACTCTTCCTCCATGTTAGTCAGTTTCCCCTCTGTGTGTAGGCAGAAAGGGTGCGGGGAGAAAGATGTTTGCTGTACAGAAAAAACGTGACTGAAAAGCGCAAACAAGAATGTCATCTAGGGGCAGCCTCGGAAACATCAGACTTCTCTGAAACGGCGCTTAGACACCTCGTTTCCCTGGCAATGCTGGAAGAGGGTTAGACTGGAGGGTGAGAACGTTGACTAAGTCAAACTTCTCTTCCAGGGGAGTTCTTAACACCTCTTTCTCCCCCCGCCCCCAAGAAAAGTATGTGTAAACTCCAGCAAGGGCCGGAGTAACGTTAGCCGTAAAGATCACCCAGCTGCCCACTGCGCTGGCTCCCGTCCGTCTTCAGCAGAAAGTAGGATGCTTCTGTTGGCAAGTGTCTGGGAACTTAGTCTTACGTGGGAGGCGGAAATCGGTGCTCTGGGAATGCCCTTCACTAGAACAGCGTCTGTGGAAAGGATGCCTCGGCACCTCTAACGCTGCTGGGCAGGCCGCTGACCCCAGGCCTGCATAAAAGGGAAGATCAAATCAAGATGCGCAACTCCAGCTACGTTAATTACTCCTTGCACAAGCAGGAGCACCGGCCAGTCCCCCGACAGGGGTGCCCTCTGAGTTGGATTTAGCAGGCCTTGACTAGACTCGCTCAATCGAACTCCGGAACATCAATTGCAGCAGCGTCGAGGGTGTGTCTACACCATCGTTAAAAGCCTGCAGCTAAGGGGCTGTTGAATTGCAGTGCAGCTGTTTGGACTGGAGCCTGGGGTTTAGGGCCCCTTGAGGTGGGAGAGGCCAGCCGAGCAGCAATCTGATCCCAGATGTCTGCACAACCGGTAAACAGCCTCCTGGACTGAGTCCAAGTCAGCCGGCCGCGGGTGGCTGCCTGTCTACGGGTGCGTCTCTGCTGCAGTTTTCAGTCTGTCTGGCCAGGGCGTGCAGGTACAGGCATGAGATTCCTTGCCTGGACTGTGCCCTGGAATTAGGCGCAGCATTGTGTGTTCCTTGCGAGGTACCAAAAAGGCCAAGCCAGCGTCGCTGCAGCTACCTCTGGGGTGGAACAGGGGACAGTTCACCAGTGCCCCGCCACACTGTACTGGAGGCAAAGAATAATGTGGCTAATTAAAGTGTGTGTTTGTGTGTTTGTTTTGAGAGAGGGAGTCTGGTAAACAATGGGATTTCCAAAAGCGACGAGGAGTCCTGTGGCACCGTATGGACTAACAGATGTGTTGGAGCATAAGCTTTCGTGGGCAAAGACCCACTTCCTCAGATGCGTGCCACAGGACTCCTTGCCACTTTTGCAGATCCAGACTGACACGGCTACCCCTCTGATACTGGGATTTCCGTAGCTGGGATCTTCCTAAGGCACCCAGAGGTTGCCTCTCCGTCTCTTACGAAAAGGCTTTTTTAAGCCCTGCCTGTGCTAGGGGATTTCAGCCACGGTTTCCTGCTGCTGCTGAAATTCCCAAGTGTGGGCAGGGCTGTCATGACACAAAATCGGACCTCAGAGGCCATCGCCAGCAGCCCAGGGTGCCGTGCTGGGGCCCTGGTTCAGAGGGTACAGCACCGGCGAACCGATGCGCCATCGAGCTTGGGGCTGCCTGTCTGGGTTGGCGTCCGGATTTGGGGCAGTCCTGTTGCCTCTCTTCTCGTGAAAAGAGGAGGCCGCTGCTTTCACGCTGATCCTTGTGCGTCCCAGAGAACCGGCAAATTGCTTGGCTCCCTGCCCCCGACCTGAGCGCAGGTTTGGGCATCTCTGCGTGGCCGGGGAGACGCTGTGAGTCTTAACACAGCAGCACGGGGCCTCTACCTGCAACATCCTTTTCTGCACTGGTGGGGTGCGCGTTCTAACCGCGTGGCCGGCTCGGCAGACCGGTGCCTGGCGCCTGTCCCTCCGCGTCCTTGCCAGGAAGAACGCCGTTGGGGAGGCGTGAGCGGTGTGCCAGGCGTGGCTGACGTGCGGCTCTCTTTCCAGGTGGGGTCCTGCTCCCTGGTCCCTCGCTGCCCTGTTTGTCCTGGTGGCCCTCGCGAGCGCCCGCAGCGTCCCCCACTTCGCTCCCCTCTCGCCCGACTTGGTCAACTACATCAACAAGCTGAACACTACGTGGCAGGTGAGTCGCGACGCTTTGCTCTTTGCATGCGCCGTGCTGGTGGCAGGCGGAAAGCAGTGGCCCTGTGCCTGTCCCTGGGGATGACACCCGTCCTGCCCGCCCGCCCCTGCGTGCAAGCATGTTCCAGCCCTGGCTTAGGGGACCGCCTTGCAGAGCCCAGAGAGCGGTGTCGAGTCAGATTTGCCGCCAGGGAGGTTGCCAGCTGGGGCTGTGGGTTTCGTTAGCGGCTGGCCGCTGGGGTTAGGAATAGGGATGTTAAATCTCGGTTAATTGAATAGTCGAGTAACCGTGTGAATTCTTCTCGGTTACTCGACTATTCTATGGTCCCCGGGCGGGGGG